GTAACTCACTTTTATTACTTTAGCTATAATTTCCACTTAAAGTTGATCATTTTCATAAAAGAAAAAAATATGAAACCGAAAATCCCCCAAAACAAAGCAGCTGTTAAGCAGCTTACAGTTTAATTGCTTGAACACTCAACTTCCAAATTATAGCAACAACAAACGCAGAACACAAAAAGCATTCGCGCACTTGAACCATGAATTATGCTCATTACCATAAACATAACATAACATAACATGCAACACTTAACAATTTAACAAAATGCAGAAACCGCAAGGCAAACCAAGTGAACAGTCAAGTGCAGCAGCGGGGGTGATATCCATACATATAGCACACTTCGGATGCAGTGGTTGCAAGTGGTGAGCTGCAGTGGCAGGAGGGTTCTGTTGCACGTTTGATGTTTTCTGTGTCATTTTTATGATTCTTTCCGTATTTTGTTTTTGTTTAAAGCTTCAAAGTATTTTGTCAAGAGATTCCAAAAGCAATTTGTAACGATTGCCATTCATAATTTTTAATTGCTTTTTAGCCACTTGGAATCATTAAAATAACAAAACCCATTATTATGAAGCGGCAGTGGTGGTGGTGGAAGAGTTAGCGGTTGCTGCAGCGGTAAAATACTCTGAAGACATTGAGCATTTAGTGGAAGGGTTGGGTGTTGGAACCAATTGTGACTTATATTTACTTTATGCACTTATCCAATTATTCACATATTTGTATAAACGCTGCAATACATATATGAGGATAATGAGTTTATTGCCATCACTTGACACAAACATAGTACGGATACGACTCCATTGAAAATGAAATTTAATAAAAATATGAAAGAAAAAATATCAACGCGTTTTTTTTCTTTCGTTTATTCCTTTCGTATTCTTATTTTTTCGACTTAGTTCTTTTTATCTGGCAGCTAATTTCTAACGCAAACAAATACTGACGCCCCATCACAGACGCATAAAAAATTATGTTTCCGAGCCTATCGGCCATTGACTGGTAGTGACTTGAAAATTGGTAGTTGTTGTTGTAGAAATAAACGTTAAAGTAAACAGCGAATATATACATACATTTTATACACGTATGTGCACATATATTTCCATGCTTGTATGCCTTATGGTGTAAAAAAAAAAATTAAAATAAATTAAATAAAACAAAATAAAATAAAATCTAATGAAAATAAGTAAATCAAGTAAAATAAAATAAATAAAAAAATAGAAAATAAAAAACAAAATAAAAATAAATTATAAATTAAAATAAATAAAATAAAAATAAATTAAAAATTAAAATAAAAAATATGAAATAAAAAAAATAAAAAGGAAATAAAAAATAAAATAAAACGAAAAAATAAAATAAAACAAAAGAATTAAATAAAGTGAAAATACAGTAAAATAAAATAAAATAAAACGTAATAAGCCGAAATAATAACGAAGAAATTTAAATAAATTAAATAACGAATAATTAAGAAAAATATAAAAAATTAAATTATATGAAACGACATTAAATATAAAAAAATTGGTAAAATAAAAAATAAGATAAACTACAATAAAATGAAATGGAATGAAAAAAAAATTAATTAATTAAAATAAAAAAATAGAAAAAAATTAAATAAAGTGAAACTAAATAAAATAAAAGGCAAAAGAAATTAATCTAATTACATAAAGAATGATTAAATAAATTTATATAAAATTAAGTTAAATGAATCGAAATATAATAAAATGACAATAAATAAATCAATTAAAATAAAATATTTATTCATTTTATTTTAAAATAAAAACAAATAAAATAAAATATAAAAATATATGAAAAATTAAATTAATGAATTCGAATAAATTAAAATAAAAATACAGTAAATAAAATAAAATTAAATTAAATAGAAAACCATAAAACTAAATAAAATAAAACAAAATAAAATAAAAAACAAATAAATTTAATTAAATTAAAAAAAGGATAATTAAATAAATTTATATAAAATAATGTAAAATTAAATTAAATCCAAAAGTAATACATCGAAATAAAATAAAATAAATATTTAAAAAAAAATTAAATAAACAAAAAAATTAAACAAAAATTTCAAACCAAAAAATATAATGGAAAAATAAAATAAATAAACTAAAATAAAAAAATTTAAAATTTATTACTGTAATTAATATTAAATTAAATTAAATTTAATCAAATAAGCCGAAACAAAATAAAAAATTTGGTACAAAATTAAATTAAATAAGATAAAATAAAGTGAAATTAAGTTATTTTATTCAACTTAATAAATTAAAAGGAATCAAATGCTACAGCAATTCAAGTTAAAAGAAAAACGCATTAAAAAATAATTAATTTAATATAGAATTTAAATAAGATTAATAAAAAAAAAATAGATAAAAAAGAGATTAAAAAAGTAAAAAATAAAGTAACAAATTTTCAATAAAACAAATAACAAAATAAAAAAATATCGAAATAAATTTACTTAATTTAAATACGGTAAAAAAAGTAAGGTGTAGTAATAGAATTAAGCTAAATTAATTAGATAGAATCAAATAAAATGGAATAAAAGTTAATTGAATTCTTTGAAATTAAACGAAATTAATGAAATTAAAAAACTAAATTGAGTATAATAAAATAGAAAAGATATAACAAACTAAAATACAGTAATGAAAAAATAAAAGGAGAATCAAAGAAAAAACAAAAAATTCTTTGAAAAAATCATTGAATAAATTAAAAGCAAATAATAGCATAATAAAGTCGTATAAAAAGGTATGAAATTAACTTAAAAAATTTAATATGATATAAATAAATAAAAATCATTAATTAATAAAAAATAAAGCAAAATAAACCCGACTATATTAAAATTAAAATTAAAATATGTTAATTAAATGAAAAATAAAGGATAACAATAAAAATAATAATTACTTACTAAAATATAAAATCAATTCATCATAAGAATGAAATAAAATGAAGTAAAAAAATAATAATGTGATTGAAATATAGTAAAATGAATTGGATAAAATAAAATTAAATTAAATCAGACTAAATTAATTGAAATTATTTTCAACCAACTTTTGCTGCACTTGGCACAACTCAAGCGCATCGAAACCACCACGGTGCTTACATAGTGGAAAACTAGCAATTTCACACCTCAACGCAGTGATTCATACAAACATTTCACATTTTTTTTATACAAATGTATGTACATAGATAAATGCCAATCGAATATATGTATGTAAGCAGTCTTTAAGACTTAGATAATGTAATATATGAATTCTATATGTACATACTTGTGTAACTTTAGCTCTGTCGTTTACTATCAAGTGTTTGTTATTTTACTGTTCATTCACCTGACACATTGAGGGGATACAAGTAAAAAAAAAACGAAAGTCTATAGTATTATAGTGGTGTGTACTACTCGCGCAGTGAGTATAGATACTAAATACAAACATACATAATTGTTGAGTTGTTTTTATAATCTTACATGCATATCACATATCCGTAGGCATGTCAATAACTTCACACAAATCAGTATACATTTCTTGGAGATTTTTAAACCGCCAAAGGAAACTTGCTCAATCACCTTTAATTTGTAATGGTATTGGTCTTGAAAATCTCTGTAAAGTTTATAAATATTTTATAATTTTCTTTGTTAATATATATATATATTTTTTTAAGCCGCGAGCTTAATTATGTAAATACCCAAAGATGCATCTCATTTAATTAACACAACATAAACACGCTTCGGTTAATCAGTTTGGTGAGAGAAAAATAATTTGAATGAACCAATTTGATTAGCATTCTGCTTCGAGGCTTCTTTTCTAAATTTAGTTAATCAGTCGTTAAACTAAACATAAAGAATTCAATGAAAAGTTGATGTGCAGATAATAACTATGCTGTTGAAGATGCCGGTGGAAAAGCTTTTGATGGCGTGAAGATTTTGTGATTCCACTTGTTCTTGATCTTCTTTTTGTTCTTGGAGCTGGATTTTATGTTCATTAGCTTAAATTAAATGAATAAAAAATATGAAGTGTTTAATGATTATCATTTAGTAGAACGAACTTCCGCAACAACTTGTCTCTTTCTTATTGATATTTGATTTCTTTTACTTGAACTTTAAGCTATCTTTTTGTAAGGCAATATTTTTATAATAATATTTTTTGTTTCTTATAAAAATAGCAGAAATCACTAAAACTATTTTAAAATTATTCGCTGAAAACAAAAAAAACTAACAAAATATGTTATGAGTTATTTTCAAACCACATTTATATCATAAGCTTACTAAATGTCCGCATTAAATTGGAGGTGTTATTTACCATAGATTTATCGGACTTTTGGCAAATACACACCATTTTGCTAAATAACATTTTGTCATTTTGAAGATAATGACATAATGTCTCTTTCATAAGAACCGTCGTCTCTCTTGGCAAAAAATTGAGACAATCGATATTCAAAGGTCTCTCTTACGGTTCGAGATCCGAACTATAAGTTGAATACATAAGAACGTTCAAAACAAACTCTCGGAGCTTCTGGCGAATCAGAATCGATGTGTGTGTGCTGTTAAGGCATAAGTTCACTCTTGTTGGGAAAAACTAGGTGTTTCTGAGTGATTGCTTTCTTTACACGATCCATTTAGTGACATCATAGTGGGTGACCCCTTGCCAATCTCATCAAACACACAACAAAACCTTCCTGATCGTTTCACTGCACTACGACTACGACCATTTTCATTTGACGATGCTGTAAGTGATTCACTTTTCATCACTGGTCACCAGCCGATTCAGAAATGGGACGTTTTTCCTACGATTCAGCGAAGATTCGCAGCTGGCTTTTCGGTCAATGAGCTATTTTTTCGTTAACCCATGAGGGAGGTATCCAGCTTTTATAGAACGAGAGATACATATCACTAAAGACAGCTATTGTAAAAATAATGGATTACTTATTACTAGACCTAATATTTCAAAATATATAATCATCTCATTAATTGATAGTTTTATAATAATAACTCTTCCAATTTCTCTACTTACAGGTTATTAGTGGGCGCGCCTCTAGATAAAAATCTCCAGCCTGGCACAAATCGAACGGGTGCGCTGTACCGTTGTCCGATCACACAAACTCTGAACGATTGCGAACAGATCATAACGGATGGGCGAAGATGTAAGTTTTATGTGTTGAAATAAAAAAAAAGTTATAAATAAAAAAATCAGAAAAAAATTTTTTTTTCTAAACTTCATCTTTATTTAACTGCTTCGTAGATTTTTAGGTTATTTATTGAAAAACAAGTAATTGAAAGAAAGAATAAAAATATTGCGACATTTTTAAATGCAAATAATTTAAATAGTTTTTCTGTTATGTGTTGCTTATAGCATTATTTACATACATACATCTTACATATTTTACTATTATAAATTCTATTCTTACTTTGGTGAAGGTTTTCGTGTTTCTTTCAGAACTATCGCTTAGTGAGCTCTTTTGTTTTTTATATGATAATAAAAAGTTTTCATAAAATTGGTTTTATTTATGTAACTGTGTAGCGTATGGTTATTTATTAGGGTCTTATTGTAAAAATTATTAAAATTTAATTAAATTTTTCAAATGTAAATAAACTGCAAGTGCCGAACTATTAGGGTTGGCCATTAATTTATTTCCTTAAATTAATATTAAATGAGTAGTTATTTGATTTGGTGCTAATACACGTAAATAACAGTTTTTTTACAATCTAAAGAGAATAAAAACTTATTATTGAATTAAATTTTCGATGTGTATAAATTATTATTATTATTATTTTTTAATTAAAAAATGTACAGTGAACAACTGTGAAATTGTGACTAAAGTTTGAGCTAATATTTAACGGTTTTTGTTACTTATGTAAATAGCATTACGCCATGTTTATACATATATAATTTTATCCAGGAGCAGTTAATTGTTTTAATATAATTTTTTTTCATATAATTTCAAATATTAGGGGTGAACTTTAGTTAGAAATAATCAAATATAAGCACATTTAATCATTTTTAAAATATTTTTTGTCATATTTACTTAAGTTTTTAAAATACAATTTTTTTATGTCGTAGGGTTGTCCAAAATTTATTTAAATATAAATATGTTACTTGGAACCTCTTTCACCAGAAGAACTTCACGCTGGCACTATCATTATCATTTATTGATATTTGAAACATTATCATTCCTCCTTATTCTCCTCTTATTTTAATTTCTTCATATTGAAACTTTATTGTTTTGCAAATCAAACAAATTTATGTGCAACCCTGTTATATATATTCATTGCTTTTCAGAGCACCTTGAAAATAAAATGCAATCGAAAATTTATTTAAAATATGTTAAAAATTATTTACAATAGCATTTCAAAGGATTGGAAATTTTACCATAATTTTAAAATAAAATATAAAAAATTTATTTTAATAACAATAATTAAGAAAAATATTTGAAAAAATTTAAAATACTTTTCTTTTCGTCCAAAAAAAAAGTTTTCAAATTTCAATCAATTTTCACCAATAAGAATAAGAATAGAACCTATAAATTTCAAAAGTAAATTAAAAAATCAAATTTGTTCCATAATGAATACAATAAAAACACCTATTTTCTAAAGAAAAACAAAAAAATATTTTCTATACCTAGGAAAAGTGTTTAAAATACATCTGAAAAAAGTTTCAATTTTCTTAATAAAAAAATTTCAATTTCCAAAAGGATTTTCTACAACATTTAATAAGCATAGAATCTAAAAAAATCAATGAAAATTAAATTTTAGAATAAAACTTATAAAGATTTAAGAAGAAATCTTAAAAAAATTTAGGCAAAGTTTACAAAAATTTCCTTTTTTGTGTTGGGTACTCCAAATTGGAGTGCAACGGAAAATAAAAAAAAACTGAAATTTATTTTCAACTAAGAGTGAGATTTAAAAAGATTTTAGAAAAAAACTTTAAAATATTTAAGAAAAATTTAAAAGAGTATCCTTTTTTTGTGTTGGAGTGCTGAAATTTATTTTCAATATCATTAAATTTGAGTGAAATCTAAAAAAAAGAACATTTCTTATCTGAAATGCAATAAAACCTTATTTTCCAAAATATTAAATTTATTTTGAATAACAATTAAGAATAAAATTAAAGAAACAGCTGAAAAAACTTAAAAAAATATAAACTTATTTTTTAGTGTGTAATTTATTAAAAAAAAAAAATTATTATTATTAATTAAATAATCAAAAAAAATGTTTTGAAATAATCGAAACCTACAAAATTGGACAGCCCTAATGGGATTATATGTAAAAATAATCCTCTGATTTACACAAACATCACTTTATTTTATTCCAAAATAATTAAGCTGAAAAATAAGGGCACCCCTAGTGTTAATAATGCATATATAGATGAAAACTACTAAAAATATTTTTTCCACAACAAAAAAAAAATGCAAACGAACTCCTTACCATTTATACCTATATAAATATATACCTTTACCATATTTATTCCTTAAATCAACAACCCTTTAAAAGATATAATATATATTTATAAAATTTTTATTTTTTCTCTCTTTTTTTAATTTCTTCCCCCTTAAAACCAACAATAAATATGTATAAAAATGTATAAACTCTACTTCCACGTAATTGGTACGCCATGGAATCCCTAAAATTGTATAAAAACTATACATACACATATAAATATTATTTCAACAACTCCATCGAAACAAAAAACAATCGAAAAAAAATCATGCTTAACTCTGTAGCGCCCGAAGGAGTTTATGAACCTAGTAAGTGGTATGGGTGCTTTACTTGTTTAAAAAAAAAAACATTTTAACCAATCTTAATTGCATACTTTTTTTCTAATATTTTTGTAATGCATATACTTTTGTTGTTGTTGTTTCACTATTTAACCAGCGCAGTTTTCACTTAATTCCGAGAATTTATGCTTTAAAAAAAAACATTTTTGTATTTTGGTAAATAACAAAAAAAAAAAACATACAAACGGCACTTTGTAAATATATTTAATGCAATGTATATTTCATAAATGCTTCAACAAAGCTTAACAATATGTCAAAACTTTTAACATAAATAACAAAAAAAAAAAAACAAGTAAATCAACACTAACCACAATTCATGTCTGGCCACGCTGTTAAAATTTTTATTAATGCTGTGATTTTAGCAATATATGTATGTATTAATCAATTATGAATTAATTTAATTTAATAAAGCTTTAGATTTGTAAGCACTTAATTTATTGCCAAAAATTCATTAAAAATAATACACCTTTAAATTATAAAAAAATTTTTGTTTTAAATATTTTTATTTATTATTGTATTTTTAAAAAGTTAGGTAAACGTTTTTTTTTTTCAAAACCGAGTTTTTTTTTGTTAAGATATACATTTTTGTCAAACAGCTTCTGCTTGGATCTATAGTTTTCGGTGATCGTCTTTTGAACCAAAAATTTCATCAAAACGAGCCTCTAAACGGTTTGCTGAAACTTTTCAGAAACATAAAACAGTCATTTCACCCATTAGGTCCAGAAGTAATGTATACGACTGCCTTTATAACGTGACTAAGGGGTGGACATTGCCTGCTAATGGGTGACTGCAATTAGAAAATTTTACTTAAATTTTTATTTATTTTTCAAAAATTAAAAGCTTTGCGAAAGCAAAGTATTGCCCTTCGCTAGCGACAACTTTCTCCCATCTTTCCGGCAATTTTCGGATCCCGGCTCGAAAAAAGGAGTCCCCTTTTGACGCTATCCATGAAGCAATCCATTTTTCCAATTCTTCGAAGGATTGAAAATGTTGATCTGCCAGTCCGTGTGCCATCGAACGGAATATGTGAAAGTCAGAAGGGGCGACATCTGGGGAATGCGGCGGGTGGGGCAAGACTTCCCATTTCAGCGTTTCCAGGTACTTTTTGATCACTTTTGCGACGTGAGGCCGGGCATTGTCGTTTTGGAGGATAACTTTGTCATGTCGTTCTTGATATTGTGGCCGCTTTTCTTTTAGCGCGCGACTAAGGCGCATCAGTTGCGTTCGGTAGCGATCTCCTGTGATGGTTTCACCCGGTTTTAAGAGCTCGTAGTAAATCACACCGAGCTGATCCCACCAATTACAAATCATATCTTTGGCGCCGTGAATATTCGTTGAACCCCTCCCGACACGTTCTTTCACTCAGAGCAGCATCGCCGTAAGTTTCTGAGAGCATTCGATGCGATTCAGGTGCATTTTTTTTCGAAGTGTAACAGAAAAGTAAAACTTCACGCAAATGGCGAGAATTAGGCACGGACATTTTCGAGCGTGAATAATACGAAAACAAGAGCAACTGTCACTGAAACGGTGATGACAATTCGTTAGGCACTGTCCACACTCACTTTAAAGGCATCATCATCTACAATATGTATTTCAACCAGCCTCAGCCGGTACAGCCACCTATCGGAAAACGGCGGAAGCAAAGCTGTACACCTGATAAATTAATTTTCAATAACTTTTGGATGTTGAAGGACAGTACACAATGCTAACCACTCGGCCGCGGACCTTGCTCTTTCGAAAATTGGGCTGGAGCGCTATCGACAAATGATTAATGATTTTTTATGGCTAGAATTGGATGGTATAAATCTGAAAAAAAGTTTACTTTCTACTAGACGGCTGTAAGTGCCTCGCAAACAACGTATCATTCCATTTAAGGGGAAAGTTTCCAAATCGTGTTATCTCTAGAAGTGGTGATTGCAATTGGCCACCGAGATCTTCGAACTCCTCCTGTGGGGCCACTTGAAAGACAAGGTCGATTCAAGATCTCAAAGTTGGAATTCGTGATGCTATTGAGGGCATACAGCAGCCACTTTGGGATTTAGTGATGGAAAATTTCATGAAAAGGATAATAATGGAAAATAATAACATCCAATTTATTCTTTTCCATTATTGATGGCATACCTTTCTCTTTACATTGAAGTAAACAACCGATATTTATCTCAGAAAATTCTATTTTTCTTTTGGTATAGTTTCGTATTCGTCGAGAAAATAAGATATTTTGGGTAACAGCATTTTTCATAATTGGCTGATGTGGTTTTTTTTTGTTGGTTTTTGAGGAACTCTTCGTTTCTTTAGTCGACAAATACGAATTGATTCATAATAAAGAAGAGTTCTCTATTGAAAATTGAAAAAACTTTAATAAAAGTCTTCCCTTCAAAATATTTATTTTCTATAAATAAAAAAATTCAGTTTAAAAAAAGTGTGTTTCAACAATCAAGAATATTTACGAAATGGAGCATAGTAAATTAACGAATGCGCATTAATTTTCACACGTTTTTGTTGTATGTACATACACATACAATGTTGTTGTTGCTCATACGCAATATACAAGCTTCTCGTTACGTTGATTTCTCTACATATGTGCAATTGTACATATGTGTGTGTGTATGTATGTGTGTATGCATGTTTGAACATACCAACATGTGCATATAGTAATTCTTATTACTCTTCTCAACCAGCTCACACATAAATTTCACACTTAATGTATGCGACCATATGACCTCCAGAACACGCATTGCGTGCCACTCCTTCGACAACGACAGCGGTCGACGGATGCTGTAGTTTGTATCTGTGACTGTGGCGGCGGCGGCTGCTGCTGCTGCCATAGTCGTACAACACTGTGCCCACATATTATTCTTGCCAGCGCAGAAAAGAAGACTTAAGACTGCTAAACATGTGATTAAACGAGTTGGGAGAGAAAGGGAACTCGTTAAAAGTCAGTCGCACGTTTGATCGCGTTGTACTTTTGGTGCTTTTATATTCATTTTACCCTTTTTCATAGTTGGTTCGTGTGCTGCTGGATGGGCCGCAAAATGATTCAGCGCCACTTTAGACGTAATTTTTATGTACTCCAATGCACATTAGCCGTTTCATTGGTTCCATGGACTTTAATGTGTTTTTATTTAATTTTTTTTTTTTGCTTTGCGTTTTCTCTTTTCCGCTGCATTTTTGTGTGTTCCATTGTTGCGCGCGTTTTTTCGAGGCGTTTTTTCGCGTAAATGATCATCTTCTTATTTTAGAAATATCATAACTTATGTTGTCGCTGGGTGTCTGCCTGCCTGCGCCTCCATGCTTTTCGTTGACTGAACTGCTCGTCTTTTAGCGCCTGAACACTTCGCTTGCAGCGCAACATCGCAACGCCTTTAGCTTTGACGTTGTATACGAATGCGTCTGGCGTTTATCTAAGTCTGCTTCCATGCCGTGCTTCGGCGTTCCGGTCGTCGCAGCAGTCAGTCAGTCAACCACGCATGTGACAACAACATTTTTGCCACTAAACGCTGAAGAACGCTTGTATAGGGCAACCCCATTTCGGTGTATTTTTCATTGCCATGCTCAAGAGATTGGGATTTTGGTGTCAGTATCTGTTGGAGTATAAAGGCCGCACTTAATTCTTCTGTTGCTGTTTCTGTTCCATTTTTCTTTTTTGCTTTTTTAAATACATCGACTTTTGTCATTTGCTTTTTCATTGTCTCTTTTTCCATTTTTGTAATTTTTTATTCTTAACACAGCATTTTATTCGCAATTTTTGCATGGCCTAAAGCCGTCTCTAAAGCTTTATACTCCATGCGTGTGCCGCAAGCTCGCTTCAACTTAAGCCTTCCCATTTTTATGGGTTGGGTCGATACTCTTCTTTCACAATTTTAACCTAAAATATAAATTGAAACCTCTCGTTGTGCTTTTTTTTTATAAATGAAGGGTGTTTCTTTAGATATGTGGTTTTCAAGAAAAATGAAAACCTATTTAATCTAATGTCAGTCTACAAGTTTAGACTTATTATTTATAAAGATTAAGGTTCGTTATTATGTGTTAAAAATAATTTCGAACAAGTGACCGGCGTAGCTGTATCAAATAAATTCCAGTTGGGGAACCCAATTAATTTCAACCGCTTTTCCTAGCAATTAGGGTCATCAAGACGACAATCGTCTTCGGAACATCTCCGCAAGCAAGCCACTTAGCCAAATATCCTCACGAAGCATGGTCCAGCGGTGTTAATTTGATCCATCTTGCAAGCCACGTCATGGTCTTACGACGAGAGATATTGCACTCACTCTCTCTCAATACAATTATTGTTTCGTTGGATATTTGCCATGCAACCAAACTTTGTCTACGTCAACACTCTCTAATTCCGGCACGAAAAAATAATTATTTATGGCCCTATAGCATTCCCCATTGACTGCCACGATTCTGTCTGCCCACCAAACAGTGAATTTTTAGTAAGAAAATGCCGTCTCAACAGTGAATTATCATCGCCCCAAAAACTACGTGGTTCCACTAACTGAAGGTGGGATGCACTTTTTGGTCCTTTAGCTGCCATTATAACAGGCTTTAAATTTTGTAAGCTTGCAAACACAGATCCTTTCGTAAAATCTTCCATAATATGGATGGGCATATCTTCAATTGTTGCGCGTGTTGGTGAAGAGACCCGAATGACTATTTCTATACTCTACACACACACTGGAGTAAACGTGGCGCGAAACCGAACCATGATTGCTCGAATTACTGACTCGGCTGGGCGATTAAGACGACCGAATATTGGACGCAGCCGTACTTTGAAACAAACCGTCATTTTGGTAATAAATTTACATGCTTTGAAAAAGTTGTTCTGGCACAGATCTGTTCATTATGAAATACCAAACCAAGCTCTGAAACAACTGTCGAAAAGAGTATTGCCTCATTGGAACTAAAAAAAAAACACCCTCTCTATAACAGCGCTTAATTCTTGTTGCTTAGCCCTCAACAATTTTGTTCTG